GTGGAAGCAGGACCCCTGGGAATCCCACTGCTCAGAGTGCGCTTGCACCTGGAAGTGAGATAGTGTGGCGAGGGGGTGCAGGGGGAACGTGTGAGGTCTGTAGTCCTCAGTAAGTTTCGAGGACCTTGGGTCCCCTGGAAATGAACGTGGGCACTGAGGCTGTTTGGGCCTCTTGGGGGGCTACTCCCCCTCGCTGCTCTTGGGCTAGCCCGGCAGCTTCTCTCTGCTTCTCTTCGCTTCTCTCTGCCTGACCTCTTCTGCAAAAGGCAGGTCAAAGGAGGGCCACGTCCTCCTCAGACCCTCCCAGGGACCTCAGATCATCATGCCCGAGGCCAAAAATTATTCTCTGGACAGTGAGGCTGTAGGGGGCTGCTGTTAACTCACCATCCAATCCATGGCCTCATTTGGTGCCCCCACTCTCCACCCCCCACCAGAGGGGCCCGAGAGGCCAGGGGTGACTTCAGAGGACACTTGAGTGGTCTCACCGTGGCTTTGTGCCATGTGGCTGGCCTGTGGGCTGGTGGCACCTGCTGTGCCCCATGGCCACATCTGCTGGGCCTGGATGGTACCCAGCTCAGAATGTGAGGTGTTCCGGGGATGCCAGGTGCTCTGCACGCCTTGCCTGCTTCTAGTCCCTGCGACCCTGCCCCTGCCAGGGCCATGCTGGCTCCTCTTACCACAGGTTAAACTTTCTAACACTGGGTGGGTCACGTCACTCCCCACATAGGACATGGGGTACTTTCAGCACTTTTTCCCGGGGATCTCATCTCTGTACCTGGGTCCTAGCCAGCCTCTGTGCTGAGTTGCTCCAGTCCCGGTGGTCTACTTTGCCCACCCCGTGGCCTTGCTACATGTTCGTGTGCTATCATTGATGCTCCGGAGCAGAGTGACAGGGTCCCAGGGCCTGAGCTTGAGTTTGTGGTTGTACTACTTAACTCACTGTGTGAGCTCGGGTAAGTGTCTCGACCTCTCCGAGCTTTGGTTTTCTGGTTTCTCTTAATTTGGGGGAATGATTACACCACCTCCGATATTTTCTTGTTAAACTCTTCTAGATTTTTAAATTTATTTTATTAAATATTCTAATTTTTTTTGGCACACAGCTATGTAATTCACCCATTTTAATGTATGTAATTGGTGGTTTTTAGCATATTCGCAGAGTTGTGCAACTACCATCACAATCAATTTTAGATCTTGTGTATCATCCCAAAAGAAACCCTGCACTCCTTAGTGGTCACTTCCCAAACCCCGCATCATCCCCCAAGCCCCTGACAACTACTAATCTACCTTCTGTCTGTGGATTTGTCTATTCTGGATATTTGACATAAAATGAATCCTGCAGTATGTGGCCTTTTGTGTCTGGCATCTGTCCCTGAGCGTGATGTGTTCAAGGTCCGTCCTCATTGTAATGTGTGTCAGAGCCTTGTTCCTTTTCATGGCTGAGTGATGTTCCATTGTTTTATCTGTTCATCAGGGTCCGTTAGGATTCTTTCCACTTTTTGACTATTAATGAATAATCTTGCTGTGAGCATTCATGTACAAGTGTTAGTGCAGATACATATTTTTGTTTCTCTTGGGTATATACCCAAGGATGAAATTGCTGGGTCATATGGTAACACTATGTTCGACTTGGAGGAATTGCAGGCTGTTTCCTGGAGTGGCTGCGTGGTGTTACATTTCTACCAGCAGTGTATGAGGGTTCCACTTTGCCCACATCCTCATCAGCACTTGTTAATATCTGTCTTTTTGATCACAGCCATTCTGTGGTTATGAAGTGGTATCTTATTGCAGGCATTATTTGGTTTTCTCTGATAAGATGTTGAGCATCTTTTCAGGCTTATTGCCCACTTGCATATCTTCTTCGGAGAAAAGTCTATTCTTTAGAGAAATGTCTATTCAGATCTTTTGTGTATTTTTAAATCATTTTTTTTGTATGGGGGGGTTGGGCAGCCTACTGGGACTGGCATGGGCAGCGTACTGGGACTGGCATCTACACCCTTGACCTTGGTGTTGTAACACCACGCACTCTAACCAACTGAGCCAACCGGCCAACCCCTACTTACTTGTCTTTGTATTATTGCGTTGTAAGAGTTCTTTATCTGTTCTAGATACAAGTCCCTTACCCGTGTCAACCGAAATTAAAGCTGTTGAGGCAGATATAATTTTGTCAAGGTTATTGGGAGCCAAGCGTGAGGATCAACACAGAGAGGTGCTCGAGGTCTGTTACAAAGACAGAAGAGGCCGAAGAAAGCAGAGACAAAAAACAAAAAGCAGACTGGTCACTGCAAAGTACTTTCCTTGTAAGGTGGGACAGGAGACCAAACAATAGGAAAGTAACTGCTTAAATAACACCAGGTACTTCAGCCTGCCTCTCTCGTGAAAGGATTAAAGCAGAGAAGACCTCATTATCTAACCTACTGAGGATTTAAACTGGCCCGTTCAGGAAATTGGCTGTTATCTTTCCCTGATTTCCCAGAAGGTCAGGCCACAGCCTATGTGGAATGTAGCAGGGGTGACGCTATATTGATCTTTGGTTTTGTCTATTGGGGCAGGGCCTAGTAAGGAACTTAGTCCAAGACAATGGCCTCCTATCATTTTTATTTAACACCAGATATATGATGTGTGATATTTTCTCTGATTCTGTAAGTTGTCTTTTCGCTTTCTTGATAGTGTCCTTTGAAGCACAAAAGCACTTCTGGTCTCTTAGAGAAGAAACCAAACCCAAGGTCAAAAATATTTATCCCTATGTTTTCTCAAAGTTTTGTCATACCATGCTCTAACCAACTGACCATCCAGCCCCTTCTTCTAAGAGTTTTATAGTTTTAACTCTTACACTTGAGGTCTTAGTACATATGGTGTGAGGTGGGAATCCCAGCACCATTGCTGAAAAGACTGTTCATTCCCCATTGAACTATTTTGGCACCTTTGTCAAAATTCAGTTGACTGTGAAGGTGTGAGTTTATTTCTGGATTCTCAGTTCTGTTCCATTGATCTATGTGCCTGTCCTTAGGCCAGTACCACAGTGTTTTGATCACTGTAGCTTTGCAGTAAATTTTGAAATTGGGGAGTGTGCCTCTCTTTCAAGACTGTTTTTGCTGTCTGGGTCCCTTGTGTTTCCCCGTGTTTTTTGGACTCAGCTTGTGAGTTTCTGCAGAGGAGCCAGCTGGGATTCTGGTAGCTCCAGTGTTGAATCTGTGGATCAGCTGGGAAGTGTTTTTGTCTTAGCAGTGCTAAGTCTTTGCAGCGTGAGCAGGGGTGTCTTTTCTTCTCTTCAGATATTTGATTTCTTTCAACACAGCTTTGTTCTCTCAGAGCATACATTTTATACTTCTTCTGATGCTATTGTAAATGGAATTGTTTTTTAATTTTCTTTTTTGGGTTGTTCGTTGCTAGTATGTGGAAATAAATTTGACTTTTATATATTGATCTTGTATTCTGCAACCTTGCCGAACTCATTTATTAGTTCAAATAGTTTTTGGTTCAGATTTTTTATGTACAAAATCGTGTCACCAGCAAAGAGAGTCTTACTTTTATTTCATTTTCTTGTGCCAACTAGACCCTCCAGCACTGTGTTAAGTAGAGGTGGTGAGAGTGGACATCCTTGTGTGTTCACGGTGTGAAGGGAGGTCTTTCCCACTGGGGTCGGTGGTCCATGTGGGCTTTTGCAGATGACCTTCATCAGTGGAGAGGGTTCTTCTGCTCTTAGTTCGTTGAGTGTTTTTATCATGAAAGGGTGTTGAATGTTTTTTTTTTCCTTTTTGTCTTTTTTCGTGACCGGTAACGGGATCGCAACCCTCAGTGTTGCGCCCGTACCGCGACCGGCAACGGGATCGCAACCCTCGGTGTCGCGCCCACACCGCACTCAACCGGTGAGCGGACCGGTCTCTACATGGGATCCGAACCCTCGGCAGGAGCGCCGCCACGCTCCCAAGCGCCGCACTCTACCGAGTGCGCCACCAGGCCAGCCCAAGGGTGTTGAATTTTGTTGAATGCTTTTTCTGCATCTGTTGAGATGAACGTGTGGTTTTGTTTTTTATTCAGTTGATATATTGTTTTACACTCATTGTTAAACTAGCCTTGCATCCCTGTGGTACATCCTGCTTGGTCATGATTCATAATGTTTTTTATATGTTGCTGGATTCTGTTTGTCAGTATTTTGTTGAGGATTTTTGTGTTTATATTCATGAGAGACATTGGTCTGTAGTTTTCTTGTTTTTAGTTAACTTTTGAATGTTGTGATAATGGTAGCTGTTATAATGCTTTCATTTTCCTTTTCTAAAAAATTGATGTGATTTACACACCATAAAATACACCCATTTAGGGCTGGCTGGTTAGTTCAGTTGGTTAGAGTGTGGTGTTGTAATGCTATGGTCAAGGGTTCGGATCTCTGTACCGCCAGCTGCCAAAAAAACAAAACAAAACACCCGTTTGAAGTGAACAGTGTTGTTTAATGAGTCAGTGTTGTGCGACCATCACACTCTAATTCCAGAACATTCCATCAGCTCAAAAAATAACCCATCCCCATCAGCAGTCACTCCCCATCCCGTCCCCCAGCCCTGGCAACCATGAATCCATTTTCTGTCTGTGTGGATTGGCCTGTTCTGGACATTTCATATAAATGGAGTCACACACCTTGTGTCCTTTTGTGTCTGGTGTCTGTCACTGAGCGTGATGTGTTCAAGGTTCATCCACGTTGAAGTGTGTGTCAGCACTATAGGGTTGTTGGTGGCAGTTTGTAGAAAGTGTCATATGATACACACTCCGCCCTGAGTGTGGATGCTCAGACCCTATGAGCAGGCTGTCAGGGGAGGTGTGACCGGTAGCGGCTGTGTGCTTGTTCCGCTCTTAGTGCCCCCTCCCCAGCTTTCAGGGTGGAGGTGAAGCCATTTTGAGATCACGGGGAGCTGACACCTGGCCAGAGCTTGCTCTTAATCACCACACCGTGGTGTCCAGCAGCGGGTCCACGCTTCTGAGCTAACTCTGCCTTTCTTCCTTTGCAGGCCTCCTCGCTGGGGAGGCAGAGTCCTCGCGTGGCCTCCTGCCTGTGCCCCGGGGAGCCCGGCTTGCAGACAACAGCAGGTACCTTCCTCGCCCCTGTGCCTCCTGCCCGGCTCTGCCAGGGCCTTTGCTACGAAAGAGAGAGAACCCTGCTCAGCCTGGCCGAGCCAGGGACGTGTGCACTGGCTCCTAGAGACCAGGTTGCCCCAGCCTCTACAGGTTAGATGGAGGTATGCAGGTGGAGTGGTCAGGACTGTCTCCCTGTTCTTTAATGGGGCAGGGAGCCCAGGCAGCCCCAGTCCTTTCTCAGAGCCCAGCATGCTCAGCAGAGGACCAGCTTGCCTGTCTCTTGGCAGTTTCTACCTGGACCCCCGCATGTGCCCACACTGAGTCTGGGTGGGCTTGCTGGAGTGCAGGGAGGGTGGCTTCTGAGGGGACCGAGGAAGGTGAGTGGGTGCTGGGCAGGCCCTGCAGTGCCCCCGAGCTGGCTGCTTGGCTGGCTGGCATGCAGGTCCCAGGCCCCCTCCTGTTGGCCGCCTGCTTTAGACCCAGGGGTGGCAGTAGATGCTGCTGGAGGGGGAGGTTTCTGCAGCAGCTTCTTGCTGAGCTCCTGCTGCAGGCTGGGGTAGGGCTTGTCTCTCCAGCATCTCAGTTAGTCTCTACCTGCCTCATAGGAGGCATGTTGCGGGCCTCTGCACAGACTCCTCCTTCACCAGGAAGCTCTTGGTCACCCCTCACCTTGACTGGGGCCTGCTGTGTGGGTCCTCTGTGTGAGCCCACGGCTGCACGGGCTGTGCATGGTGTGCCATTGCTTGGCCAGGTGTGCCAGCCGTGGCTGCCCTCCCATGGCCTCCTGCCCCAGACCCCAGACCCCACCCCATCTACTGCTCCCTGCCTTGTATTGATTGAGCCCCAGCTGTTTCCTGTTTTGTCTGTTGTAAAATTTGACTAACTGAAGACCAGCCATGGGTAGAGACAGCAGTGAATACATCTTGGGTTTTTTTGGGACAACCCTAAACCTGTGACAGTCGCCGTCCATTGGGCTATGCGGGTCCCTGTCCCCTACAGTAAGTCCCAGTGCCTGAGAGTCCCTGACTGAGCTGGCACTCGCCTCTTCTGCTCTATGGGTCTCTCAAGCCCTCAGGGGCTGTGGTGTGTTCAGGGAGACCTGGCAACCCCTAGAAAGGAGCATCCCCCAAAGTCCAGAGTTTGTGTGTGCAAGTGGTAGGTGTGCTGTCTGTCAGCATCTGCATTGATTGTGAGCATTGTGTTGGGTGCCCACCTGAGAAGCAGGCCCTGCCCAGTGACCTCCTTGTGCAGTAGTGCACATGGGCTCATACAGGCTCACGGGCACAGACGGTCTCATCTCGGTGGGTGGCTATGGATGGGCACGGGGGGAGCTCACCTGGTCTGGTGTCTCCCCAACAGTGTTGTCCATGAGCTCTGCAGACCATCAGTTCAGCCTCGCAGAGATCCTGTCGCAGGAGTACAGCCTCCGCCAGGAGTGCGAGGCGGCCTCTAGGTGCCCGGGCCAGCGCGAGGAAGAGCTGGAGAAGGACTTCATCTCTCAGGTACTTGACTGAGCAGGCCCTGCCTGCAGGCTCAGGGTCCACAGGGTCAGATAGTCTGCATGCTGTGTGCACAGGGCATGGCTGGCCTGGTCAGGACCTGTGGGGGGCATGTGGAGTGTGCTCCATCTGTGGGGTCCCCTGGGAGAATGAGAGGGGGCACTGGACTCAGGTGGGGTTGGGGGCGACCCCTGAGGAAGGGAGGGCAATGGCAGATGGAGGGGCAGTGCTGGCATCTCGAGAGGTGTGGTGGGCAAGTCCAGGAGGGTGGACGCTGGCGGGGGGGGCGGGGGGGAGGGGTCTACACAGGCAGAGAGAAGGTGATTAGAAGGCAGTCCAGTTTTGTCTCTTCTTTCCCA